TAATAACAAAAACTGCAGCTTCTTGTTTGCATAAGTGACAATTGGCAACAATTTTGAGGCTGCTTAGCATGGTTGTCGATGTGTCTGCTCCGAAGCCTTTTTCAGCCTCCGCTCACTATTCCGACAAGGAGAGGTGGATATGTATTTATCCGGTTTATTTGAATAGTCGTGTTACTCGATCAAAAGGGCGCAAAATCTCCATTGATCAAGGTGTTGATAACCCCAAACACACTGAAATTTGCGCCATATTACAGAATCTGGGGTTTCGTCATTTGGCTGAAAATAAGGTAATTAAGCACGATTTTGGCATACTCCAGGTATACCCTCGTGAAAGAGACTCTACAGAAACTCAGAATCGTTGGCGCATCAGAGTACAACTGAAGAATGATGATGGTTCTCCCTGCCTACCTGAGTACGTCTCAGAGCTATGCCTAACCCTTCAGGTTTCCCACTCGCCAATCATTGTTAATACATCTGGGCGGGACCATTCCTCTTCTGAAAACGCGTCATTCTGGCCCAGATTATGGGCAGCAAGGGAAAGGTGGAAAGAAGTATAAAAGGCGCTGATAACTCGTCTTCTCCTTGTCGAAATTCACAGGTTGTAACCACGTCACATCCCTTTGCCTTCATTTCATGCGTTGACATCGTCACTTTGCCGTGGCGTCCCTAAAACTTCTCACTTCTCTCTACCAGTTGTCAAAACTAGTCGCCTTGACTCGTCGAATCGGTCACTATTTTTAAATTGTAAAGTCGATCATAAATCTAGGGCGTTTTATGGGATCAGCTCATTTAGAAAGAATGACCTGGGGCTAATGTCTTCTGCACTGCTTCCTTGCTTTCATGTGCAAAATCCCAGTAGAATTTGGATGAATAACGGGCGCAGAACATTGACTTTCTCACTAATATCATACAAAAATTTGGAGGATTGCATCACAAGCATGGGTGAGAGTAAGGCAGTCGGAAGAATGTTACCGAGTCAAGCGAAAGCAGAAATATACACACTGCTGGAGTAGGTTTGATAATGCTCACTTCGGCGGCGCGTACGAATTCCGAGGCACTATAATAAGCGAACACATTTCCAGATAATGGCTGGGAGAGCTGCGAACTAGGCGGCAATGTGGTGTAGTAAAAAATGGGATAGAAGTGGAGGAGCAAGAGTCGGAACTATAGACTGTTGCGTCGGTAAACAGACGTAGGAGATATTAGTTGCATTGCCGAGACAATGGACTAGGAGTGCATTGAAAAGCGTGACTAACTTGAATTGGGCATAGTGTTGAAATAGCAGGTGCGATGGGAAGCATGCTTACTGGTTTTCTTACGATTGGGCGCTGGCGACGCCGATTGCGCAGAGGGAGCAGACGACCGTAAGAGTCTCGCTTTTGTCTCGGGAGTCAGGAAGGAGCCTGTTGTTGGCTTCATAAAGATGTTGCTAGGATACGCACTTGTCCTCTTGTTCGCAGAGTTGAGATTACGAAATTTCAAGTTCTGCTTTATCAAGGTATGATTTTCAAGTTGTAGTTGATTCCGTTGCTGAACGACTCTTTGCAAATGCAATCGGAGCCGTGCGTTCTCGCACTTGAGCACATGCAATCTCTCCCTGTAAGAGGGTTGGGTGACCACGGTTGTTGGCCGGAAGAAATCAGCGTCCCCAGTGTAGCAAAGTTCCTCCTCATCGTCCATCTCCGACTCCATATCAATCTGTTGCACTCGTCTCGGAAAACGTTGATACCTTCTGCGCACGTAAGCCGAGCTAGGGGAAACAATGCGATCACCGGCATGCGGAACAACAAGTTTAGCTCGTTTCGGAGGAAGACCGCATCCACGATACACTCGTGGCGGGCCAGTGGATGAATTGAGAGACAAGGCTTGAGGAGATAAAGGTAATGAAGAGGCGTTTGACAGGGAAGCAGAACGCTTTGGTGACTCTTCTTTGCTCACACCAAATTCTAATCGAGCAGCACAAGTTGGGTAAGAGAGAGAACGTTGCCTTGGTTTTTCCAAAAGCGGTTGGCCACACCCAAAAATGCGGTCTGGAGAACATGATCGACCTATCCTAGCGCATTTTCTATCGTTGCGATGGGAGTTTAGTGCAGTACTACTTGCTTCATCATCCTCATCTTCATCATAGCTCTCTTCGTAACTTTCGTCATCAACGACATCGAAAGCTGAAAATCGACGGTTCTGAGGTAGATGCAGCCGATGGTGTGACACAGGTTTACCGGTTGTCAAAGGATAGACGTTGGATGTCTCAGGGGACGAAGATTTGGTTGCAGTAGCATGGCTTGAAGGAGGTATGGATCCAGGGGATAAAGAGGCATGATCGGCGATCCGAGCCATATTCTGAACCTCATGCTAAAAATGCACAATTCATGGTATCAGAGAGATGACATAACAAGAATAGGTCAAAAATGAGAATAGCAACAACGCACAGCCATTGCTGCACTTTCATTGAATGCAGCTATGGCAGCCGCAGCGGCGTTCTTCTTTTGATTATGTTCTTCCACAGCTACTGCAGCAGCCATTGCGGCAGCAGCAGCAGCAGCTGTCGTCATTGTAGCAGTGTAAGCAGCAGTTGCGGCTGAAGAACCTAGTGATGAAGGATTGGCAGCAGCAGCACTAATGGTAGGTACCGCAGATGGTGGAGGGGGTGAAGATGGAGGAACATTTAGGCGGAGAGGCATAGTCACATCAGAACCGTAGACATCCACTGGTGTCTCGTTGGAATTACATGTTCTCCTGTGACGACCACCGGCTCCCAACGGATCGACACCACCTGAGGACTTCATGTTGGCCACATATCGACTTGAAAAGAACATATTTCACCAAATTCATTTCTCGCACACAACTGTAATATTCGAAAAATTTTAAGGCGACTATTTGAGTTCGAAAAGTTACGAAGATTGATTGACATTTACGAAAGACCAAGCAAACGCCACAAGAGAGTGGAATGATTGGATTACCAAAAACGGCAAATGAAGGAAACAATCAAAGAACTAAATGTTAAAAAGTACTTACATCGACTACCTCTCCTAAAAACAACACTTTTCACAACATTATGTACTGACAATTCACTGGTTATATTAGCACGGAGAAAACAGCAACAAAGATAACTACCTGCTGCTGGCGGTTAGCGCCAAGCTGGTATCAGGAGGAGGACAAGAAACGCGCGTAGCTGAGTGCGCATGGGAAAGAGATGAGGTGGCAAGATGTGCCGCAGAGATGGCAGCGACGGCAGCTGATGGTCCAGCTGAACTAACCACGGCAGCAGCTACAGCGGCTGCAGCTGCAGCAGCTACTGCAGTCGGTGGTGGTGGAGCAGGGGGAGCAGGTGTTGTCACACCGTTGGTGGAAGGCTGGGGAACTATTACAGTAGGAGGTGCAGACATTGAGAGTGCACATTCGCCGCCAACTGCCTGAGAGAGAATATCGCCTGCTGTCGGCTTTGATACTGCAGCATGTGAAGCTGCGGCTGCAGCGGCAACTGGTTGGGACAGCATCGCACCTAGTGAGGAAAGATTAAAGCAACCAATGCATTTTACCGTCATACTGCCAACACAACCGTGGAACACCTCAAAGTAACTCATAAGCGAGATCTAGCATAGAAATGCATGATCACAAAAGCACAGGAGAACAGTAGACATTACCGAAACATGCTGCAGCCGCCACCGCAGCTGCCGTATTAGCGTCTTGCTGCTGTTGACTGTGTTGGTTGAAGGCTGTGTGAGAATTCATTGGTTTTTTAATCCCATCAGGATTCACATAATTCGCAGACTTTGAAGAAGGTTTACCGACGGTTGGTGAAGGAAAATCAACAGATGTAGAGACTTGATAATCTAAAAAGGAAGTAGGGAAAGTGGTTGCTTTAAAAAATATGGCATATCTTACCTCTAGTAACGCAGAAATGAGATTCCGGAACATATAATGGTCCATCATTTCTTTGAAAGTAGTGGCACTCGACTTCAGAAGAGAGCGAAGCAGGTGGAAGCGAAGTTGGTGAAGAAAATAGAGAATCTTTTGTTACCCGCGGCCGTAAAACATTGGAGTTGGTCACTGCCCCCAATAACGACTCCATAACAGGAATTCCAGTAGATTTAGAAGCAGTCAACACCGTTTCGGAGTACTAAAACAGCAAAATCGACAATTAATATCTAATGGTCCATTAATATAGGTAGTGCTGACTGATCTTCAGAGCTTATTTACAGGACCATGACGCTGCTGATGATGCTGTGTGGTTGCAAGAGCAGTTGCAGCAGCGGCGGCGGCAACGGCAGCCGCGGAAGCGGGAGGGAGGGCAGAAGTGGGGATGGAAGTAACGGGCGACGAATCCTGCACTCTGCTTCCATGTTGGTGATATTGGTGTTGATGTTGACCGTGATTCTGCATGACCAAATATCCAGCTGCTGCGGCTGCAGCGACCATTGCTGTCGTCTCCGACGTAGTGTCGGCAGATTCAGAGGTACGAGACGCAGAAAGAGCATTCCCATTGCCATTTTGGCACGGCAAATGTTGCTGCGATATTTGACTTAGAAGGGCGGCATGGTGAGAATGATCTGTGTGGTTGTATGTTGATGGCTTGATGGAAGTAGAATTAGAAGAAATCGGTTTTCCGTGTCTGAATTTACAGGCGGAGCCACGATGACAGCTATGATTCAAGAAGTCCTTTTAGGAATTAAAAAAAAGTAAGTAACACGTTTGCATCTTATTTAAGTTACTATAAAAATAGCGAAAAACTATAGAAATTGTAAAAACTTCTCAGACATTGTTAAAAAAAGAACTAGAAATATCAATTTTGAGAAGACAGCAGGGCAAAAGTGTGCACCACAGTGTAAAACGAAAGGTCTCAACGCAGTCTTAAAAAAAAACACGAAAATACCCACTATGAGTGACAAGCCAAAAAAGTAGATAATAATATAAAGAAAAGTGAAACGCGATAAAATGCCAAACCTTGCAAACGGGTGTATCCGCATCATGGGAGTCGAATTCAGACGGTTGATGCGGCGGGGTAACACCGTGTGAGCGGAAAAATCCCTCCTCCTTCTTCGTATAATGGAGAAATTTGCACGCATGCCTACGACAAACCCCATTTTGAAAGTCGTGGCAGTAAATAGGTTCAAGTCTGAAATAGAAGAAATTACAACCACAACGTTTTGCAGCACTAGTCAGGCTTGTTGACATATTGTAAACAACTACTTGGATCCAGTAAAAAATAAAAACAATGCCCTTCTTTTAAAAATATTTAGGATCTACAACAACAAAATCATCTCCATCAAAAGCAAGCCGAAAACATACCACAATTCATCTAAATATGATTCAGTCGCCTAGTAGAATAAAGCAACACATACGCCGATGCATATATATGCAACTTACAAAACATCTGAGGAAGGAGAAAGAACAGGGTGCCTGTATTTACATTTCTTCCCTCTTTTGCACACATTCCTGAGAAAATCCCTGCACACGTCACCGTTTGCATCTGCATAATCTTTGCAACAGACGTTGGAATCAGGAAGTGCCTGATTAGCCTGCATTAATGGTTCCGACAAAAACAAATCAGCAACACTTACAACGAGAACGGAACGCTATATTACGTGGCTCAAAAAAGATAAAACAATGCCAAACTTTCAACCATTCACAATACAATCAATAGACATGTAAGTGGATTTCAGAGGCAGAAATACAAGATCACAGAACAAATAAAAGCATCTGTACAGCATTACAAAATAGCTGAATACGGAATCAAAGAAGAAGGCAAGGAAGAAAGCAATATTGTCCAAGTTAAAGCATGGCCTAGGTCAGGCACTTCGCAACCAACGCCAGTGATAAAGCATCCAAGCAAGCCGCCTATAACAATAACGAAATGCACAACATATTATATTTTCAAAATAATTAATTATCTTTTTATACTTGCGAAAATTGGTATAGAGGCAGGATGGGCATTAGTTGTTACTATACTATTAAATGCGAATGAGCTAAACTTATAAAATATTTCTAAAATAAGAATGATGAGGATTAAATCGCTATTTGAATAACTTTGCACAAATTCAAAATTAAAGCTAAATTTTACTATTGGGTAGAGCCTTTAGGGTTTCGGCCAGGAAAATGTGGCATAAATTAGAGCTAAATGCGTTTTTGCTTTGTCTGTAGAGCAGCCTGCCCACACAATATCCGAATAAATATCCAAGTGCCTATAATATTTCAGTTATGCAAATATCTGTATATATGATCCTACATTTATGCAAAACTCGATCCATTCTTCTCCAACCAGAATACATGCATTTAGTCCAACTTTGTTTGTCTTAATCATAGTGGAAATTCTCGGTCACTACATTAACCTACAGACATGTAGGTTGTCAAGGCAACGAAGTGCTTGCGGCATTCAGAGAGTTCCCACCAAGTAGAAGAGAAAAATTTTGATTGGATACATGTACTCTGTGAGAGAAAAGGGATTTAGCCTAAGATTTTCTTATTGCCTTTCTTCCTGTTCGATCAGCTTCCACTAAGCTTCACTAGGTACATCTCCCGCCCTGGCTATCTTAACATATTCGGTATTTTCAACTTAGAACCACCAAGATAGCTACGCTAGTCAACATCTAACATGAGACTGAGGAGCGGTATGCGATCTCTTTGGCAGCTTCAACTGGATCCTGAGTTACGTTCGATCTAATGGTCAAAGTTGGTAGTATACATCTGTTGGTCATCATTTGCCTCCAAGGATATACCTTATAAATGTAGTTTAAAACAGTCGTTCAACAAGGAAGACGGAGTCAGACATAATTTCGTATAGTGTCATTTTAACACCTATTTGTAAAAGTGGTAGTGGTAGATAGTTCATGATGTTATCACTGCAGTTGTTAATAGTGTGTCTGTGGTATACATCATCCGCAACCTTCCTGTTGTGATGAATTTTAGAAATTTTCTCACCTTTGCAAAATAAATGCGCCTTCCGCGCACTGTAGGTATATGCACAAACGGTTGGGTTCGCTTTCCACTGCCAAAAGTGCAGCATCCCAAGACTTCCCGCCAAGTATAAGACGCCAAGTTGGGTTGAATACATATATTTCGGTGAAGGGAAAGGAATTAGGCCTGGGGTTGAGTCAAAGGCTAGTCCACGCCGATAAGCTCCAAACAAGTACCAGAGTAACCGCTAACATGCAAGTGAACAAGTTAACAAAGTGCTACTTCCTCAGTGCTCCTCTTGATATACCTCTCGCGCTAGTCATCACACCATATAAGATGCCTCAAAGAACCACCCACGAATCGACCTACGGAAGAATTGTACTTG